GATGATGTGGACACACCAGCCTTATATATCATTCAGAGTAGTGGCAGATGACACAGCTCTCTGGGTCTGAATTCCATTCACTTTGAAGACAGCAATACGGACTCAAAACACTAACTCAATATTACAGACAGCTGAGTAGTGTAGCAATCTGACTGCAAAGCACAAGCAGAGAGACTATCACCTCATATTATTTCTTTGCTGATGGTTCCGTTGAAGACCAAGCATATAAGTCTAGTTAAACTGAAAATGGATAGGGTACATTCTGATAGGCTTCATAGTGGCTTTTTAGAAGACACTGTCTCTTTAGCATGTTTGATACACCTTGATACTGAACAGCCTGAGAGTATAAGACCAAACTTGCTCAACTTTCATTCATCTGCTGATATTTTTTATCAAAAACACAACAGATTGTTTTTCTAGAGAACAGGGTCCCGTGGTCATTCCTCACACACCCTGGCATCTTCTGGCCCATTCCCTGCTTTACCCCAAGAACTAAAAGAGCTACAATAGAACAATGCAGCCATCATAGTTTTGAGTAATTTTTAATGATATGGGACAATGGTCTGTGAACAAATAGAATAAGAAAGCATGGGAACTGAATAGACACTACAATCCAAATCTGTTTAGCCATATGTATTTACATACTCACACTTAAAGAGTAACTGGAATTTTTTCCCAAGAGGACAGTCTACTGGAATTTCATGACTTTTACTTTGTTAGCTGTTTTCAAGTTCATTTATTTATAACAAAACATAAAAAATAACACAATGTAACCAGAGTAATAGCTAGATGCTAACAACCATTGTGGATTGAGTACTATGTCATTGTTGTAAATGCTTATTTCAGAAATGGTTTGAAAAAAAAATATAAATTACTACTGCAGCCATTTCCTTATCTATTCAAGAAAGCATCATCCTGGTTTCTCCTACTTACATTCCCCCATCTTCCTATATGGGCTTAAAAGGGAAAAAAATGAAACAGGGGTCACTGTGGAAAAGGAAGCTAGTGATTCTTCCTGGAAGCCTTTTTTGACTCCCAACTCTTGTGACAACAGTGTCTGGGAGGAGTGGTGGGTGTCCTGTGTTTTCTGATTAGTAGAGCATTTAAAAAGGCTGTCATTCCGAAGACAGGTAAGGTTTGGAGGATGTTAGTATTTTTCCTTAAAATGACTGGAACCTTCAAGAAGTAATATGGAATATTTCAAACGCTGTATGGCAAGGCAGCTAATTTAGAAGCTCTTTGAAGACACAAACCTTTTTTATTCCCCATATTTGTCTACACTGAGGGTAGGAAAATGTCTCAGACATAATGTCCAGTAGATGCTGAAACAAAGAGAAACACTGGGGGAAGATTTGAAGTGGCTGGAGATACAGCCCAGCAAACTTTAGAACATGTGGAATAAGCTTCACTGTGTCAAAGGCCACAAAAATCTTCACAAAATCACTGGCCATAGGGATGGCTGGGTCTTGCTGAATGCTAGGAAGAATGTAGTTTACTAGTGGAGATTACACAAGGGTGGCTTAGGGTATATTTATACTTTTATATTTGAAGTAAAAAATATGTGCTGATTTTGGGGAGTCAAGTCAGAGTATGGATGCAGAGGAGCAGGGTGGGAATGCTAGAAGAGTCTGGAGTTACAATGTGGTCATGTGTAATCCTGAGAATCACTTGACAAAATAATTGGTTTTCTTGTTTATTGTAAAAAAAGACCGAGCTGTCTTTTAAACATTCGTGATAATCATCTTCATTGTCTCCAAAGCCGATTATCATCTCTACCTTGTTTATATATTTCTAACCTCTAAATATTTAAAAAAAATGCATTCATTTACTTACAAACCAATTGAAAATACCTTTGAGGTGTTTTTATTTTTTCAATATTTCATTCCCCAGGATTCTGTGGTCCTGGTATTAATTACAAACAGTATTTCTTTGGGAAGCAGACATGAAATATACCAATATGTTATCACTTCCAGAAAAGAATCTGCAGCTATCTAACAGAAAAGGCTTACACAAGGCCAGCATGGGGGTGGGGGCAGCAGAGGATAAGAAGGGAGTCCTCTCTAGCAAGGGCCCAGCCATTCATTCCAATCCAGACAAGACAATGCAGAAAAAAAGCAGAAAGGCCAATGTAGCTTGGCTATGCTGTGTGTGAGGACACACGTGAGTGTACCGTGGCTATGCTGTGTGTGAGCGGGCACACATATATGGAGCATGGCCATGCTTGTGAGGGTACACATGTGTACATGGCTATGCTTGTGAGAGCACACGTGTGCCCTGCAGAGATGCTCTGTGTGAAAGCACACATGTGTGTTCCATGGTTATACTTGTGAGTACACAAATATGAGTACTATGCCTCTGCTTGTGTGTGTGAAGGCACACATGCATGTAATATGCCTACGCTTATATAATGGTACATATGTGTATACCATGACTATGTGGTGAGGGCATACATGTGTGTACCATGGCTTTGCTTGCATGTGAGGGCACACATGTGTATACTATGGCTATGCATATGTGTGAGGGCATACATGTGTGTACTATGCCTATGCTTATATGTGAGGGCACACATGTGTGTACCAAGACAATGGTGTGTGAGAGCACATGTGTGTGTGCCATGGCTTTGCTTGTATGCAAGGGCACACGATGTGTACATGGCTATGTGTTTGTGAGGGCACATGTGTGTGTACCATCACTGTGCACCAGTAAACTGTCTTCCTAAAGTGTGGCTTTCCTAAGCTTGGACATATTGCAGGGTGGAAGTGAATTAAAACACTGGTGCATATTTAAGCACCAGGCCAATCTTATGTGGAGAAGCTCTACTGAGTCTCAGAGCTTCTGAGGGAAAGTCGTTCAAGCAGTAATTCACCCATTTCCACAACCAAGGCCATTGGATAATCACACGGCCTTGACAAGTCTCCCTCATTAAAGTTCCAAGTTATTCTCAGGACTTGATGGCTGTGTACAAGTAAATACTTTGTGGTTTTTATAAGTGAATGGTGAAAACACGGTCATGCCCATCATGCCCTGAGGTAACTTCTCTGAGACTAGAGTCCACAGATTGGCAACTCTTTATCTAAACTTCAAAATCCAATAGAAAGGAGACTATCAATGAGAACACTGATCCCAAGCCAGGGGCCGCAAAATACCATGTATTCTGGACATCCTTCAGTAAAGCCTACTGTAGTTGCCCAGCTGCTTCTCTTATATGTCATTCTGTAGCTGTGTGAACTCGTGCATACACAGTGCTGCATGCCCCACAAGGTTGGTAAGACCTTATGGAGTGAACTGGATTGTCAGAGCATAGACCCCTTACTAACTCTGAGACTATGGGTGATCACTTCCCCAAGCAGAGCCTCAGCTGCCTTGGGGGAGTAACAGGAACCTGATCAATAAGACTGCCTAAATCACAGGGCGGTGGCCTGAGGACTAAATGAGCAACAGACCCTAAATGCACAGCCTCTGGCAATACAGAGAAGCCTACAAATGCAATAAGGTCAGTACTAAAGAAAGTATCTGCACTTCACTTTGAAAACAGGTTGTAAAATGTAGTCATGAGATCCCTGGCTCCCCTTCTCATGAGGGAGCTCCAAGACAACCTTTTAGCATGACCTTTAAGGAACATAAATGTGACAAAGGCACCACCTAAACTACCAATCCAAGCTCCATTCACTAAAACACAATTCCCTGGTGTTGATTACAACTGTTATCTTCCCAAATATTCTCTCTTCTGCATGCTTAACCCTTGAAGCCTAGAGCTGAGAAGTAAGCCAGTGTCATTTCCTCACTTTCTCACTAACAAAATGACTCATAAAGGACTTCTCGTTGCATTGCTTGCCCAAAGATTCATTCAAAACCACACTGTGTCTGCCCCCACGCTTGACTCCATTTTCTGCAAAGTAAAGCAATTTTTTTCATGGCCTTAGAATTAATATACTTGAATAACTAAGAAAATCGTTACCAGAAATATGATTTTACACAAAGAATGTTTCAGAGTAATCATAAAACATCTGGATGCTGTCTGTTAATATATAAAACCACATAACATATGCGGTGTGACCCAACTAAGTGGAAAATTCAGATTGTATGTAGTGTGGAATCAGCAGTGACCACAGAGCCCACCTGAAATGTGACTTTTAGTCCCATTAGAGACAGTTTGGAATGGCGACACAGTGGCCTGACTTTTTGGCCACTGGTTACAAACTAGTTGTCACAGATAATTGAAAAGCTACTGAATTCTGACCCACTATCTGACAAACACTTCCACTCAGGCATTTCTTTTATTTAGAAAACCCTGGTCTAGGATAACCTCTATGGAGAAGAGACCAAAAAGCCAATTCACACCCAAATGTGGACCTTCCTCACTGAGATAGCCTCATCTGTCTCAGACCTGGAACTGAGAAATGCTGAAAACTTCCTTCAAAACTTGTGGTTTCCTGTTGAGTTCAACGACTCTAGCTTCAGTGTGTGTCTCTAACCATGGCCTATTTGACTAGGAGTGTGGAGCTTGCTAAAATTCACTTACACCTGGATACCAAAGAAGCTAGGAGTAGAGAATTTTTATAATCATAATTAATTGTGGAGCGCCGAAGCCCAAATTTTACATTATTTGAAAAATTAATATTCGCTCAATTTATTTTCTTCATATAAAAAACTGAATTTGCTCCATGTAAAATGTGGAGAGAACTGGTTCCTGCTAATGCATTTAATGAGCATTTACTTACATATACACAGAAAACACGCATATATACACGTATCCAAACAGGCTGTTGGCCAATGCTGGCTCTTATTCTTTCAGTCCTACAGTACCTTCTGGGAGATTCTATTCCATTTACACACTGAGCCACAGTCTAGAGCTAAATAATAAACAGCAGACTGGCTCTTCTAAGGCATCAGCTCAGGTATCATGCCAACGTGTTAGTTTAAGGCAGTGTTGTGACACAATCTAACTGGCTTTACTCCAAATGTTACAGGCTAACATTCTTTTAGCTGCGCATGGAGTATGCTCCCTTCAGATGGCGCTAGTGAGTCGATCCTTGTCTCTGGCTTCCTTCTCAGGACACAGATACAAAGCACCTTGGAGGGAATTTGCTTCTAGTACCCGTGAATTCTCCTGGGTCAGTGTTTCTGCAGGTTCTGGAGAGTTCTCCCTCCAGCTGGGACTTGAGTGCGGCTGGGAGGCGTCCCATATTGCAGGGCACGGAGGAGGGAAGCCCACAGCTGCCCGTGAGAGCCTGTCTTCTGCAAGGCTCACTTCTTGGAGGCACCTGTTGGAGAGCACTTCCTTTTCTTTGGAATTCCGCCATTTCATTCTTCTGTTCTGAAACCAAATCTTCACCTATTCATAAAATAATCAGGAAAAAAAAAAACACTTATTCCAGGTACAGCATTTTAATGTTTTGCTTATTTCTTTTTCTCGGGCCTCGTATATGCTAGGCGACCACATTTTCAACTGTCTATGGCTTTTACTATACATTCTACAGAATTCCTTACTCTGAGAGCCTAACTGGAAAATCCCTGGGGCTTTTCCTGTGGGTTCCTTCAAAATCACCTGAGAAATCAGCGTAACGTCCCATGGACACTTCTAAACAGGGTAAGTGTGACATAATGATCACGTTTTTGTATTTTTGGTGGATTTTGAAATTAGTTTTAATTATTTTAAAACATTATTTCATATATGCTAATACATTTACTCAAGAAAAATTGACTAGTATAGCACCTGTGTGTTTTGATTTGGGGGCTATTATGTTTAGTTGGTTGTTGGTTGGCATGGGAGAGGGTGTGTGTGTGTGTGTGTGTGTGTGTGTGTGTGTGTGTGTGTAAGAGAGAGAGAGATGCATTTGCATATGTGTATGCATGCACATATGTGTATACTCAAGGTGTTTATATGTGTATGTGTTGTGTGTGTGGTATGTTTGCATATGTGTATTATACACACATGTGTATTGCAGGATGTTTGTCTGTGTAGTACGTGTGTGTGCCTGCATGTATGTGTGAACTGTAGGTGACTTTCTGGTTTGATGGGCTATTCATTTCACATCTAAGGATACTAAGGTTTGGTGAGATAAAACCAACTCAAGATCACACAGCAAAGTGAAGAACTACAGCCATGCAGACCTCACCACATACGGGGCTGTGTTGACATGCAGACCTCACCACAAGCTTTTAACATTAAATTAACAATACATTTTGCAATGCTTTGATAAATGTGGGCTTTATACAGCTTCCAAGTTTTGATTACTCCCAGGATTTATCAAACTATGATCATTGGTTTCAATAAATAACAATTGATTGCAATTAACCCAGAAGGTAGTTTGATCTGAATCATAACTTCCCCCACCACACCACAACTTGACTGTGATTAACCACCCTATCCACTGGCCACTCAGCCATCCTTGAGCAGAAGAATTTCCAACTACTTTCCCCACATTTTAAAACAGGAACGGTCATTGCTGCTACACTATATCCTTGCACTAACAATTTACATTTTCATTTTGAAACAACAAAACCCTAGTTAGACTCAGTGAGCCTAGAAAAATGAATGCTTGAAAGGCAAATTATATGGTAAAGGGGATAATGGAAGGAAAGAGACTAGAAGAGTATGGGTGTGACAAGTATCAGAAAATAGTATATACAGGTATGGAACTGTCAGAAAACAAATTCAATAAACATTTAGAAAGACTTCCATTAGAAAAAAACTTTTACTCAAGAGAATAATTACTAAAATATGCCAACCAAGAGGGCTGGGTATGCATCTCAGTTAACAGAGTGATTCCTGAATATCAGGAGGTCTGAATTCAAACCCCAGAACCACACAAAACAAACACAGTGGCACACGCCTGCAACCCCAGCACTCAGGAAGTAGACACAGAAAGATCTAGAGTTCAAGGTCATCCTTGAACTAAAGCTACACTAGACCCTACTTTAAGCAAATCATACACACACACACACACACACACACACACACACACACACACACACACGAGAGAGAGAGAGAGAGAGAGAGAGAGAGAGAGAGAGAGAACAAAATTGGAGATGGTCCTTCCACACTGACAAAACAATCTTCAACTTTTCCTTTTAAATGACTGCTCAGGAAATCGACTCCAGGCAACCAAGTGTCAAGGACCACTGTGTCAGTTACAATTCTGAGAGTATGTCTTTTGCTAACAAAATAGCTCTAAAGTGTGCAACCCAGAACACTCGGTTCTACTCTGAATACACTTATAATTAGCAGCAGCCATTTCCTGTGCTTTTTCACTGAAAGAGTGCTGTTCCTACGGATGTATCTGCTTTGCTCAATACCCACTTGTTTCCTTTCTTTTTTCCTTAGTGCACACATGTGTGTGCATGTCTGTGTGCATATGTGTGTGTGACTATGTGTGTGTGCATGTGTGTATGTGTATATGTATGTGTCAGTGTGTATGTGTGTGTACATATGTCTGTGCATGTATCTGTATGCCTGTGTGCATGTGTGTATGTGTATATGTATGTGTGTGTGTCTGTGTGTATTCATATGTGTCTGTGTGTATGCATATGTGTCTGTGTGTCCATGCCTGTGTGTGTGCCTGTATGTTTCTGTATATATGTGTGTGTGTATGTGTATGTGTGTCTGTGAATGTGTGTCTGTGTGTATATGTCTGTATCTCTCTGTGTGTATGTGACTGTGTGTGCATGTGGCTGTGTGTGTGTGTGTGTGTGTGTGTGTGTGTCTTTGTTTGTGTGTATGTGCATGTGTGTGTGGTGTGCCTGGAGAGAGAGAGAGAGACAGTGGAATACAGAGACAGAGAATGATTCCAGTAATCTCTTAATCAAAAGCATGAAATAGTTTCTTCACAATACATACATTTACTGAAATGCACAGAAGTCAAACCTCTCTCAACAGTCACAAAAACAACTGCAAGTGGATCAAATGGCTAAATATTTAAAGAAAACTACAAAAGTTCTACAAGAAAATATATAATATTGTATTTATGGTCTTGAGGACACAAATTCTTTTTGAAGCAAATCATTAAACACTGAAGACAATAAAGCAGTGAAGACAGAGCTGGCTACATAAAACTGAGAAATTTCTGTACACATAAACACACTATAAACATGAAAAAGCAACTACTCAAAGAATTAAAAGTAGGAATCTGGGAGGTATTTGCACACATACTTTCACAACAGTATTGTCTATAATATCTAAATATTAGAAATAGTGAATATCATCAATAGATGAATGCTTATGCAGATGCAGTGCATCCATGTAATGGAATATTATTCAGCTTTAGAAAGAAAGGTAATTCTGAAACTTGTAACAATATAGATGAACCTTGAAGACATTATGTTAAGTAAAATAATTCAATTAATAAAATGCTGTATGACTCTACTCATACAAAATATAGTCTCTATACTACAACAGAAAATAGAATGGTAATTGGCAGGTGCTTGGGGTAGGGGGAAGGAGGAGGTTTTGGGTGTGGGAGTGGTTAGCAGGGGACTGCGGTAGGGGAAGGAGGTATTGGGAGTTGATACAGAGTTTCAGTGTTACAAGATGAAAAAAGCTTGTGAGATGTATTATTGTAGTAACCTTCATGCAACAATGTAAATGCACATAGTGCCACTGAAATTAGAATTTTAAAAGGTTAAAAGAACGTATTTTGTATCTATATTTTACCACAATAAAGAAACACACAAATGTAGAAAGAAATGTTGAAATACCTGTAACAGGAAAGTAGAACTAACCTTAATTTTCTAAATGTCTTGATTAATACCCAAAATAATTGCTTCACATCAACAAAAGGATAACTGGTGAAAAATATACAACCATAAACAGCCAATTCATATATTTCACATTGCCAATAAATTATCAAAAGCCTCTAAATTCTGGTAGCTAGGAAAATTCAAACTTAAAAAAATTAATAAATACAATTATCTATAAGGTTGATAAGGCTTTTCAAAGCAATAAAGGATAAAAGGTTTGCAATAAAATGGCTCATGGGAGCAGAAATTTTATATAAGTCAGTGTCTGGATTTAACTAAGACTCTTGGGAAGACTTTAACCACTCACACTTTATAATATATACATGGACATTTTAACATATAAATCCTGTTTCTGCTTCCCTAGCTTACAAAACATTTTGTTAGTTAGTTTGTTTTTCAAGACTTGGTTTCTCTGTGTAGCCTTGGCTATCCTGGAACTCACTTTGTAGACCAGGCTGGCCTTGAACTCATAGAGATCTGCCTGCCTCTGCCTCCTGAGTGCTGGGATTAAAGGTGTATGCCACTACCACCCAGATACAAAACTTATTTTTTAAGTATGCAAAGAAATGCAATGCCGAGCCAGGCAGTAGTGGCACACACCTTAATCCCAGCACTTAGGAGGCAGAGGCAGGCAGGTCTCTGTGAGTTTGAGGCTAGCCTGATCTACAGAATGAGTTCCAGGTTGGCCAGGGCTGTTACACCGAGAAACTCTGTCTTGAAAAAAAAAAGAAAGAAAGAAAGAAAGAAAGAAAGAAAGAAAGAAAGAAAGAAAGAGAAAAAAGAAAGAAATGCAATACCAAAAGTCAAAAGTAACTGAAAGTTTGGGTATAAAATGTCTTACGTATCCATAAGATGATGTATGATGAGGTTCATGTGAGAGAAAGCAAAAAAGGTCGACAGGTCAGGCTCAAAGGACCCATCTCGTTAACAGAATGGTACATGCATGTGGCCAACTGTGCTGCTCATGACATCCAAAGCTGGGAGGAATGCATGTGACTGTCATCAGCAGCATGGCTTGTGTTGCACCATGCAACGGTGATACCCTAAAGTAGTGCAGAAACCTTTGCCATGGTATGAATAATCTCCCCTAATTAAATGCTGCAGAAGCCACATACACAGAGCTCTACTAAATGGATCTGTTTACACAAGGGGAGGAAGTGTACTACATTTCTCTGTCTTGCTGAGGAGTGGCTGGTGTGTGGCTTTGGAGAACACGGGCTGAATAGGAGGGGCTATCAGGCCTTCCCACTTCTACTACTTGATCATCATTGTGGAGATGATTTGTGAAAAGCCAAAAGGACACAAGGAGCCCATTGCACTGGCATGCACACACATTCCAAGTGCCAACTATTTTGTAAAGCATGGGTAATGCAATGAACAGCAGACACTTCATAGGATCCTTGCAAACATTAACAGACATCAAATGTTGGGTAGGCATCATACAAATGTGAGAGTTATTGCAATTTGTGCTTGTCCATCCTGCATATGAATTTAAGAGTCTCATATTTCAGTAAATTGAATGAAGAAGCATTTATAAATAGCAGTAAAAACTAAGCTGGATTGGAGAGATGTAAGATGGGTTTTCATTTGTAACTTCACCACTTTCCCTCTTGTATTGCATAGCTGATAAGCATGGGAGCTAATAAAAAGCCAAATTATTTATTAAATGCTCCCCCAAATTCAACACAATAAAAAGCAATGGTTCAGAGATACCTGAATTTTTAAAGCAATATAACTAAGTGAAACTGTATGCTTAGGTTTAAGAGTCAAATAAGAAAACCATCTGTTTCTTTGGTGTAGAGAGTGTAACCTTCCCGGTAGCTTATAAATAACTGGGATTGGATATCAAGTGTCTCTGTAGAGTGCTGCACACAGTCAGAGAAGGCCACACTTACTCAGCACATAGCAAGGTGGAATGCAGCCCCCTCCATCTCTCAGCATCTGCTTCAAGCTGACCACCCTGGGCTCTCAACAATCCCAATCTGCATATTTTCTCCCCTCTGACCATGGCTTTCCTCATCTCTGCTTGTGGGACTCCAGCAGAGTCCAGTGACATCCCTGCCACTCACAAATCGGGCAAGTCTGTCACCTGAAGTGTCACCTGGGGTTGTGAACTTTGACAAGGCTGCTATCTCCAGACATGGGAGGCTTAGAAGGATGCAGCTCTATAAATGGCTTTGCAAATTCCTGGCCCATCTTTCCTTCCAGTCTCACAAGTCAAGGCAAGCCCCCTAATATTGCTATCTAACCTCTGCTGGGTAACTTCCTGGGATGCCAAGGGTATGACTTCCCACACAGCACAGGGTTACAAACAAAGTAGACCCTGCAGATGTACCAGCTGATCCACTCATATGCAAAACTTCTCTGAGACTCAGTAAATTCAGAGAATCAGTTAGGGTTATGGACTAATTGCCCTCTACCACACAGCATACTTCTTCCTACAACTAGAAAGTACTGGGGGTGGCATGGCAGCTTGTGGAACAAACCATTTCCCAGGGAAAGGAATGAAGGGAAAGGGGAATTTCACACACTAGGACATGTTTGATACAGTGTCTTTTACCGTTCAGCTCCTTCACACCAATTCAAAATATCCTGGTGGATGTGAGTCTATTTGGAAAGTGGAGTGCCTGCTGCACCTCAACTACCACCATCCCTGTTACGATAAATCTTTCCACCAAAAGCTGCCTGAGCCCCACCGCCTCGTGTGAGCTTTACACCAGCCACCCGACTGTGTTAGAGCCCAAATGAATACACAGAAACTTGTATTAGGTACAATGCTGCTTGGCCAATGACTAGGATTCTCATCTGTTAGCTCAGTCTTAACTATCATAAACCTATATATTTTATAAGACTTATCTGGGTGTCCCTCCTTGCCGGTGGATCACATCCTGCCGCTGGAGGAGCAAGGGGGAAAAGGACCCTTCCTGTTTCTCCTTTCACTTAAATGAGTCTCCTTGCTATGTCACTTCCTGCCTGGATCATCACTTTTTTACTACATTTCCCCGAATCCTCTTTGACTCCTAGTCCCGTCTAATTTGCTGTCTCATTGGCCAAACAGTATTTTATTCAACAATCAATAAGATAAACATACACAGTACATTCCCCATCACATCTCCTTCAGCTAGATGCCTTTATTCTGACTGGTTTTTATGTTGCTTTAACACAAACTATAGTCCTCTGAAAGGAAGGAACCTCAGCTAAGGAGGTTCCTTATGCCTCCATAAGATCAATCTGTTGGCAAGCCTGCAGGGTATTTTCTTAATCAGCAATTGATGTTGGAGGGCTCAGCTCATTGTGGATGACCCCTTCCAGGCTGAGCAAGCCATGTGAAGCAAGCTGGTAAGCAGCATCCCTCCATGGCCTCTGCATCAGCACCTGCTTCCAGGTTCTGGCCCTATTTGGGTTCCTGCCCTGACTTCCTTCAATGGTGAAGAGTAATATGGAAGTGTAAGTCAAATAAACCCTTTCCTTCCCAGCTGCTGGCTCATCACAGCAATGGTAACCCTAACTAAGGCATCCTTGTACGGCAGACGCCCTGCACAGCTGCAGATGATGGCTCACGGTTAAGGAAACCACATTACGTTGCCTGGGTTAGAAACCTAGAACCTGAACAGCTTTGCCACATGACACTGGACCTGCATTCAGTCTTCTGCATTTCCTCATCCAGAAGATGGACAGGATTGCAGTGAATGAAGATGCTTATCGGAAGATGAAATAGAAAAGTGCTAGAGTTCTGAGAGCTAACTGGCCATCTTGGGAGAATTCTTTACTCCCAAAACTGGCATTCACAACTGTGTGGAACATTAGTGAATAGCGAAGGTCAGATGCCAGATATGAAATGTGCAGAATAATCACACCCATCCAGAGGGGCCCAGGAGCCTCACAGTCACTCAGATTTTGGATTTAAAGCAAAAAGGAAGACAGGAAAATTGGTTACTGCCTTTGAAGGCAATTATTTAGTCTGCTTCTCTGGGTATAAAGATAACAGATACACACACACACACACACACACACACACACACAGAGGGGCGGGGGAAGAGAATCATATGATGCATCCTTTGTATTTCCCTTCATTTCAGAAAAATGAATGTTCTAGTTCAGCCTCAACATCTCAGTATGTGGATCTGTCTTCACACAGGACTTAGCCTATGTATCTCCACTTACTGAAGATTCAGAACAAACACTTCAGAACACTTCAGGGCACAGTGCCACGCCTGGCGCAAGACAATATTGCCAAAAGAACAAACTTCATCATGCCCCTGCTGAAACTAGGAAGAGGCAACATCTTCCTCCTCCCTGGTACCTGTGACTCCTTCAGCCCCAAGCTGACAGCAAGTTTCCTTCGGTCTGTTTTGCTGATGTACTTCTGCTTCTGAAACATTTTCTCCAGAGCCTTCCTCTGGTCCTCTGAGAACACAGCTCTCCTTAAAATCCCCCTTCGAGCTTTGGAATTCGAGTCCTGAGTCAGCAGAGGCAGCCCGTGTTCTTCTCCTGGCAGAGAGGAGACATACAAATGGACAGCAGGGTTAGAGAGGAGAAGCCCTCTGACTCTCGACATGGTAGCACCTCATACACAGCACAGTGGCTGGCTGTTTTCTCTCTACAGCAAGAGCTATGCTGCTTAAGCTCCCCAGGTCCTGGAATTTTTTGAGGATCTGATAAATGCTGGTTATGCAAGAATGCTCCAAGGAGTCAACAAAATAGCACAAAAATAGCTCAATGCCCAGCCCTACCAAGGGTCCCATAAATCTGCTTCCCCCTTGTTGCTCACTTGGTCCTTACGTGGATCCTATATATGCCACACCAATCACTCTCGAGGTAAAGAGTGACACAGGTCCAATTCTATACTGAGAACACAGAGCTCAGATGCCACCCAGACATACTCAGTTCAGCCTGGCTATTTCCTCCATGTTTTGGCACCCTTGGTTTATGACTGCATCCAATCTAACACTGTAACCAAATGTATTCAATATTAGGAGAGAATGGCAACTCCCCAAAGAGATGGATAAACTACCCAATGGATAACATCTTGAGGACCCATTAAAGACAGCAACAAAGAAAGGACAACATGTGATGTTTTAAAGCATGGCAGCAAGATATGGGCTGCACTTATAACCAGGTAAAAGTATCAAGGAGAACCCATTGAAAGGACCAAAGTGAACACTACTGTGAGTCATCGCAGAAATATGGACATAAAATCCAAACCCACCATCTACAGTTTAAGCTTGGATCTGTTTCCCAGTAGGGAACAACTTAGCAGAGGTGCTTCATAAGCTCTGAGAGAGGGCTGAAAATGAATCCAACCTGTCCTTAAGATGCTCATAGTTGATGAGTACATGCTCAAGAGCTTTCTCTTACAGTGAGATGACACATGATCATCACAGACAGCACAGAGCAACAGAGCAATAGCCAGAGCAGGAGAGAGACACCATGAACAACATACAGCCACAGAGCAGGAGAGACCATGAACAACATACAGCCACAGAGCAGGAGAGACCATGGGTAACATACAGCCACAGAGCAGGAGAGACCATAGACAACAGCCACAGAGCAGGGGAGACCATGGGCAACATACAGCCACAGAGCAGGAGAGACCATGGGCAACATACAGTCACAGAACAGGAGAGACTATAGACAACAGCCACAGAGCAGGGAAAACCATGGGCAACATACAGCCACAGAGCAGCAGAGACCATGAACAACATACAGCCACAGAGCAGGGGAGACCATGGACAACATACAGCCACAGAGCAGCAGAGACCATGGACAACATACAAACAGCCACAGAGCAGGAGAGATCAACTAGTAATGTGGAATAAGACTCATTCACATATCCCTAAAACTTTCAAGAGAAACCCCTGGATTTTTCATAACTAGTTATTTTTAGAAAAAAAAAGCACAAAGATGCCTATAGAGTATTTACAGGTGCAGTTCTAACATTTTGGGAGGCATGGACTGAAACCAGACCTCACCCTCTGATGAACACACCTACTGGACCCATAGCTAAGTTGGGGTAATAACTTCTGGGTCCAATTTCTAAGGTTTTGGCGCACTAAAATGAACAGTAACAACCAATGAACGGGCAAAAACTATGGCAAACATAAAGATATTATATCCTTCGTGGGTGCCCCCTTACCCACCCCACTCCCCATACCCCATCTCACCCGAATGTCATTTTACCTTGGCAACCCAACACAACCCTTTTTCATTAACAATGCACCAGGAAGCCATGTGATGTTTAGCCTCTCTGTCTTCCTGACCCCATTCTGAGCAGCTGCCTTGTGCCTATTGCTACAGGAGGCCCTAACTAGGCTTCACTGGGGACACATGCTCCCCATGCCCCCTGACCACCAATATGCATCCAGCTTACAAGTAGGTAAAAACACAGAGGAGAAAGGATAGAATGGCAAATGTAAGCACTAAGTAAGCCATTATAAAAGTATGGACAAGTATTCCATTTTTTGAGCTAGAAACAAGCAACCACTGTAGCAACCTTTGGGAGTGTAGGGGCAGAGTTCCTGCATCATTCCTGTGGTCCCTAACCCTGCCATGCTTCATTCCAAACTGTTCCCAATGTGGGCTACCCAAGGTCATACTACCCACTTCTAAGAAGGCCTGTTTAAGTTTCCACATTAAAATCCAATCTGTAGACTGCTAACGCCCCTCCCACTCCCTACAGCCTTGTGAGGAAGGCAGAGGCACCGGTATAGGAAACAGCATTGAATCTAGACAACTTCAGAATCACAGTAAGAATGTAAGATTCTGTCAGGACGACTCAAGCTGGAGGCCACCAACAGCCCTTCAAGAAAGAGAATGCATGCTTCTAATGAACACAGTAACTTCTCATGGATGAGGGAGACAGCCCTTTGTTCAATACAGGCCTCTCCAATGTGCTAGTTAAAATACCACTAGCTTCCATTTACTGTTTCCTGAAATTTCAATAATCAAACCTGAAGTCTGTGTCGCCCGATGCTAGTGTTCCTCTACTGAGGAGGGTGGGGTGCTCTCTGTGGGCCTATGCCTTCCTGCTGCACTGTCCCTAACTGATTATCTCCCTCTCCCATGGATTTCTATCAGTATTCTCTTCAGTGGAAAGATTCCTCACTGCTATTTTCAAGTGTGTGTGTGTGTGTGTGTGTGTGTGTGTATCTGTGGGTATGTATGTGTATCTGTGGATATATGCATATGTGTGCCTCTGTTTGTATGGTTTCTGTGATTTGTCTGTCCAGTCCTAGTAGAATCTAAAACCTGTCCTCAAGTCCCCACATACAATCCAGGATTTGGACTTATGATTCTACACAATTTAGACCTTCCTCACCAAGTTGGGTGTGGTAACAGTAGAGGTCTTTCCTGTCTCCTTTCCTCTTAGCTTGGTTTTTACTACTCAGTGTTCCTTTTAAATGGTCTCCAGAACCAGCCACGGGCAATCCGAGCCTTTCAGAGTCCAGTAGGAATTTGGTCCTCTTCTCTGCACAACCTATGGCTAAAGCACACCGAAAATCCCAGCTGTATTCTGCAGACACACACTGAGACAATGGCACTACACCTTTTCCCCACAGGCCTGGGAAGTCCCCAACATTACCATCTAGGCTGAACAACACCCATAGGAGTGAAACTCTTGATTCTGCCTCTGCCTCTCTAGAGCTTTGGATAGAGCCATCAACTTGGAAAGCCTATAGTTTTGAGTCTCTTATCCTTCAAACTTCTTCTTGGTTGACCAACTGTCATTTCTCTGTGTAACACCACTCCATCACTTTGCAAAAGCCAATATCTAGATTCAAATTATCTACAAACTCCATTATCTTCTAAGTGGTATAATCAGGCTTCTTTCTAAATTTAAAAAATAAGTTGTTTCCCTCTGAAGATCAGAGAGTGGTTAAATTAAATCTCTGTGTATGTTAGATATTTTATATTTGTGTCCATATATGTGTTGGGGATTGCATTCAGTCTCTTAGGTTTTCCAACACCACTCCATCACTTTGCAAAAGCCAATATTCAAATTATCTACAAACTCCATTATCTTCTAAGTGGTATAATCAGGCTTCTTTCTAAATTTAAAAAATAAGTTGTTTCCCTCTGAAGATCAGAGAGTGGTTAAATTAAATCTCTGTGTATGTTAGATATTTTATGT